ATTGCCCCTTGCATAAATAAGTACAAAATAAGAGATTTCATATGTGGCTAATTCTGAGAAAAATGTGATGGTTTTTCTGGGAATAAAGGAAGTCCCTGTCATTACACATTTGTGGTTTCTTAGCTAGTAGTTGTTTTCCATTATGTAACAGTATTTCAAAACGCTGGTAAATTGATTGGCACGATGTGACAACACTTCAATCCGTAATGCAAGAGCGAAAATTAGATAATTCTTGCGTTCAAGACGAGCAAAGATTGTTTGTATGTCACGGTTGAAAGACATGTCTGTCATCACCACGAGCTGCCAGCCAATGAAATGATAAAATCTGAGACACTAATGGCAACCAGAAGCGATTTCCTAGAAAACAAAATCATCGTAAAATGTTCTCCCTCCGAGTTTGCTTTTCCGTCCATGTTTAGAAGAGAATTCTAACAACTTTAGAACGTGTGCGGTTTTCAACAAGGGATTCATGGTTGACTCGCGCCAAATAGCTTTGGAATGTTTGATTTCTGTAAATAGAGAAAGAACATCTGTTTTTGTCGAGGTATAGTTCTGTTAGAGGCCAATGCAGCAACACGATTAGACTTTGATTATACTTAAAATCAACCGGGGATTGTTAGCTTAGAAGAGAAAAGCGGTTAATAACCCTAGTACTTTCGCCTAAAATTTCTATTTTATCAGTTTCTAGAGCTGCTTCATAGGTCGCTTTGCATTAAAAGTAAACATGATATGAAAACTTGGTTACCGTAAGTCAACACATGATAATTCTAGGAAAGTAGGTCTTACTTAACAATCCCAAAAGTTGAAAATCCATTCTCTACTGGGCGCCGTGTATTCAATTTTCCACAGTTTCTTTTGGAAGAAAAAAATGGAAGCCATCAGGCAAAGATTGAATGAGGCAGATGACATCGCCGAGGTTATCGATTTAATGCAAAATTTGAGCATTCCAATTAAAGGATGCAAAAACATCAAAGACATGAAGGAAAGGATGCTCACCCATCTGAGCCCTCGAAATGAGGAAAGACTGTAAGGGAAGTTATTCAATTTTACAAACTTTTACCTGGCAGCAAGTATCCTTTAATGCTATTCCTTTCAGCTGTGCCTTTCGAAAGCGAGTCGATGAATGTTTACACTAAACTTGTCATCACATCGCTGTAGCTTATCGACGTGGCATCGTAAAACGAATGGCTCAGAATCTATAAGGCTTTCATATATCATGTATAGTTACTTTCTAAGACGTCTAGCAG